AGTAATAAAAAGCAGGATGTGCTGTTGAAAAATTATATTGCGAGATTGACACACTGTCAAGCATAAATCTCATTTACTGAGGAAAAACTAAGCAATTACACAGACTACTAATGAATAAGACATCATAATGTATACTCTGGTGCATAATGAATAAAGACCACTGTCATATTGATTGAAGTAACTAAATATTATGTTCGAAATTAAAGTAGCCAAAAGCCAAGTTTCCATGTGATTAAATTCCAAACTTCTCTTTTGCTTATGTTTTTTTCCCCCCATAAAATTTCTGATTCCAAAAGGCTTTGATTTTTAATTTTAGCAAGAAAAAGGATTATGATTCTTCTAATGATTCCAAACGACACAAATCTTACTTTTAAAAGGGGTTAATATCATTTTTTGCCTGTAAAATTTGACCTCATTTTGTTTTGATCCTTAAAATTTGAAATCAGGGGTTTTGGTCCATCTCTATCTTTATTATGAGTATTTTAGTTTGTTTTATATATGACTCATAGAAATAGTTCATCAACAAGGAAGTTAGACAAAGTCAAAATTGCTAGCTCGACCTCGTTGTGCTCTTGTGTGCATATGTAGAATTTGGTCACACACATTTCGCTTAATTATTCTCTCTTTTCTCTTTTTCTAGCAATATGTGCGTTTAAAAGAGTCACAACACAAGAAACAAATCAGAGCCTGTCTTAAGTTTGAGACAAACTAACCAGTGATCTATGTATACGCAAATCTTTATTGAATTAAAAGGTAGGTGTCACCTAGAGGTTGAGATCCCTTAGGTGATGGTTTTGATATGGTGGAAACGTTTTCTGTTTAGACCCCTTGTCCTTAGATCCTTTTTCCTTAGAATCATTCGGTGGATTAAAATCCTCTTTCGGAGGAACATGACAAGATTCGCATTTAAATCGTGGCGGAGCATGATGACAAGTAGCACAAAAAGGATCTTGTGGCGGAGGAGAAATGCAATGAGGACAATCTCCTATGGCGTGATTGCCAGACAAGACTCTCACATGCAGCTTCAAGCCTTGCTCACAATGATCTCGTGTGCCACTTATGAAGTAAAATGATCCTGGCCTGTTCAACTCTATCTTAGCCCGTCCATTTTTGTGATCTTGAGTAGGGTTAGACTTGTTGCAGTTATGATAGTGTTCCTTATTCACTTGCAGCACTGACTCTGATCCTTCATCGTACTTCCATACTATCATCAGCCAAGAAACAAAGAAGAAGAAGAAAGATCTTTAATGACGATTGAAGCGATGATGAACAAATTAATGATTAAAATGTTAAGGAGTGAATAATTAGGGTTACAGAGAGAATCGCCAATCTTGAAGCGGTGAGTAGAAGCCCATTCGTTGAGCCACTCAGCTTGAGGAAGAGGAAGCAGCCAAGATGATTCACTATCTCTAACCACATACTCTTCTGCTTCACAATTTGATATTACCACAAACAAAACAAGCATCATCCGCATTTATGAAGATGATCTAGCCATTGATATGGATCCTAGTTTCAACTATGCCTCTTTTATGAAACCCTCCCTCTCATTGGCTAATCACTACGTTTCCTTCTCAATTTATAGCTTAATTTTAAAATATTTTAAAATATTGTTTTCAATAGATAGTAGATTATTATTAACTTAGAAGTTCATGTCAAATCATAATCTTGTCTTAAAATCCTCTCAAGAAATTATTTATAATTTTAAGAAACTCTAAGGGACAATTAACAAAGTTTTGTGATTAATTAATGAAAAATTTCAGAAATCATGTTCAATTTCTGATACATTGATTTTTAATATTTTTGGTCCATTAATTACTAATTAGGCATACAAAGTACTCATGCACGTAAAACGATTCTATTGCTCTATTACGGTCTCTTGCCTTGGATATCTTTTTACAAAGTTTTGTGAATTAAAGAGAATTAATATGACTTTCTTCAGCCTGTTATAACCAAATAAATAAACGAAGTTTTTATAAATAACTTTATAATATGTTAGAGATTTTGATATAAATAGCAATTCTAATGTGTGTGTATTTACAAAAATGATTCGTTTTTTTTATGAATGGAATATATCTTGAAATTTTATCCACTTAATTTGGGTTGATCAATTGAATGAGATTGAGTGAAAGAGCCATTCGGCAAACATCCATATGATCACAAGTCTCAATAGACATCGAATAAACCTTGATTGCTTTGTTTGGCCAAAAAAAATGTACAACCTTTTGATCCCTTTGGCGGGTTTTAACTTAAACAATACCTTTTCGTAGTTTCGATAAGTACAAATCAAAAAACATTTTTAAGAATGTTCGGTTAATTTAGTAAAAAGGACAGGCAAAAAAAAAAATCCTATGTAGTTTTCAGCTTGTGATTTGTTATTTTTTCACTAAATTAATTTATTCACTAGAATAAAAGTTAAATCAAATTTTAAAATTAACAGTAGCACTTTTTTTTTGGCAAGTATTAGGTTAAGGGATCGCCTGCTATTAACCTCTAGGATTTTATGTCACAACAGCACTTTTTTCTATGAATTATTGACACATATTAGCATATTTGTGTATATTTTGGATACACAAAATAGAAAAAGGAGTATTCTGTTTTAAGTTGCACACTATTACTTAATTGTTCATATTTTAGCTTTGATATTAGCATATAATTGGCTAATGAATGCTATCTTGGTGTAGGATTACTATGACTAAAGAATAAAGTCATTCTATCCATATGGGAAACTTTGGAAGCTCTTTAAAGATCAAAAGAGTCACTTGAGGAAGACAACATCACTCAAAAGATAGATGCTTGAGGAAGGCAAAATTGCTCAAAAGAGAGAAGGTAGATAGACGCTTCCAACATTGTGACTTTGAACCTCATTATTGCAACGTTCTTTGATCTTGACAACAAATTAAAAGTCGTGGCTTTGAGTCAACTACTCGTAGCGGAGACTTCCAACATTGTGACTTGAGATTTATTCGTTGTTTACATTGTTGTATTGGTATGATTTGAGGTCAATTGAAAAGGGAGATTTTGATTCTTTGTACACATGGCATGCTATTATAAAGGAGTTCAGTGATTGGATTATTATACTTTTTGGACTCTTGATATCAACCCTTCCCCTTTTTTTCTTGTGCGCACTCAATATCCCAGGCTAGCCCCTATGTCTTGGGGAATTCAATGAGTCTAGACTAATCTGAACTCAAGGCATATGACAAGAATCATTAAGGTTGCCACCACTGTCCCCTAAGGTGTTGTGTTCTCATGTCTCAAACTCAAGATCTGTGATTAAGCTGGAACGACTTCTACCTATGGTCCTACTTATTACAAAGCATTGACAATGAGAGATAAAGATTAAAAAAACTCATTAAAAGAGTGTTGAGTGAAGGTAGAAGCTTATAGGATATCAGATTTCTACTTAAGTTGTGCAGGTAAAGGGGTCCATACCATTGGCCAAATGGATATGTGTTCCTGTTCTTCTTTCTCCAAGCATTTGTTACATGTGAATACTTGTTATTATTCTCCTCCTTCTCTTGCTTTCATACTTTAGTTGATTTATTGTTCATTTATCCAGCTTATCGTGGCAATTTGCATTGTAAAAAAAAAAAAAAGGTTCAACGATTTCATGACAATGATAATCGAACACATTTAATATTAGCTTTTTTTTCCACCTTTCTTAACATTAGCTTTAGACTCCACTTAAACTTTGTCCGGTTCACTATTTATCTTTTATAGTACCACCTCCAAATCTTAATATGAGAACTTATTTGACCTTTATTTTGATCCTAAATATAAGATCATAATCTACTTTGTTTTTTATATTTATCTATTTTTTTTTCAAAATTGGCTTTGTAATAATAGTAGTTTTAGCCAATATACTTGATTAACAAAGATATTTTAGGAAAGATAACACCTATTTATTATGAATAATTAACTTAACTAATTTTCTTAAACTATTTAAATTAATCAACTTGTTTTTATGTTAAAGACTGGAGGTAGTAACTTTTTTTTCCTCTTGTATGGAGCCAGGCATGAAGTATTTTCAGTTCTAATGTAAATTTGTACGCAGTTTAATTGTGGATGCATAACATAATATGAAAGAAGGATATGTCCTTATCTACTTTGCAGAAGTGCTGTTCCGCCCAGAAAGCTATGTTTGGAAAATAAATGTCACATGAAGAATGACAATTTAGTGATGATTAGTATGAGTAACAAATCCCATTAACTATACCTTCTAAATATATTTTTTCGGTTGTCCCATTCTACTTTTACCGTTATCCATTTGGATTTGAGGTGGGAGGATGGACACATAAAAAAAAAGCAATATCATGTTAATTGAAAGTAGATTATAATTTCAAATTAATGATATAAAAAATTAAATTATACTGTAATTTTTTTTCTTTCATATATGAGAAAATGAATCCTAAACTTTATCCAGTTGTCCAACTTTCCCATGAACATATATATACATGACCATGTTATTACTGCGAATAAACCTAAAATATTTTTAAAAGACTTGCAAGACTCAATGTCAATCAAATACACTCTGTTAATAAACCTAACACATTTTGAAAAGAAACGCAAGACCAAACGAGTGGTGGCATACGTCCATAATAGAACAAAGTACATGCGCATCAATTTAGGCAATATAATACTTATTTATATAACAAGACAAAAGAGTTTTGCTGAACTACATTTTATTTTCAAATCACCTATCGCTATCCAAAGCTCCTTTCTATACCAGCTGCAGCGTTATAAGGACCTCTCAACGAGTCAGAATGCAAGCTGGACATACAGCTAACTTATGAAAGGGTATAATTGATCTTTGAATTACTTAGTTCAACTCGTCTCTATTATTATAGTATAATAAACAAATTTAAAGGTTTTCTAAGATGGTAGAGTGAAATGATTTATGTAAATAGTAATTTTTATTGATTTATAAAGTAGTTATTACAAAGATGACTCTGTAGAAAGAGTCTAGCTACGTGAGGGTGACCTCTTAGCATGAGCCACTACTAGTTGAGACGTCGTGGTGATGGCGACAATATCGGTGGTGGTGGCAATGGAAACGGCAATGGAAATGGTGGCAGTGGCACCGGTGGTGGCGACGACGACGGTATTGGATAAGGATGAGAATAATATCGTTGATTGCCAGATAAGACTCTGACATGCATTTTCAATCCTTGCTCACAATGATCTTGTGCACCACTTATGAAGTAAAAAGATCCTGGCCTATTCAGCACTATCTTGGCACGTCCCTCATTGTAACTTTGAATGGGATTAGACTTGATGCAGTTATGATAATGTTCTTCTTTCACATCTAGCACCGACTCTGATCCTTCATCATACTTCCACACTATCACCCAAAAAACACAAAAGAAGGAAGATCTAAAATGAGAATTATATTCAAGTGATTAAGAAATTAATAACTAAAACGGAAAAATAACATGTAAGGGAGGAAATTAAGGTTACGAAGAGAATCTCCAATCCTAAAATGGTGAGTGGAAGCCCATTGGTTGAGCCGCTCAGCTTGAGGAAGAGGAAGCAGCCAAGATGATTCACTGTCTCCAACTAAATACTCTTTCGCTTCATACTTTGATATTACAAGAAACAAAAGAAGCATCATCCATGTTGATAAAGATGATCTAGCCATTGATATGTATCTTAGTTATAACTATGGCATCCTTCATGAAGCGCTACTCCTCAGTGGTAAACCACTACGTTTTTGTTCTCAATTTATAGCCTTAAGGATTTCAAAATATTGTTTCAAAAAATAATAGATTATTATAACGAAGTTAACGTCAAATGATGTTGTCTTAAAATCCTCCCAAGAAATTATTTAGTTTTCAGAAACTCTAAGGGACACTTGATATATAGCTTTGTAATTAATCAATGAAAAAAAAATCATAACTAATGTTCAATTTATGATACGTTCATCTTTAATTTTTTTGGTCCATTAATCATTAGTTAATCTATCATAGATATTTTATAACGCTCTCTTGCCTAGGATACCTTTCACAAATTTTTGTGAACCAAAGAAAATTAGCTAGACTTTCCCCGGCCTATCATTTTTTTTTAACCAAAGGAAATAATGCTTTTCTTAACAAACTAATAAAGAGTTCGACGCAACCAAATCAGAAACAACTAGAACCAGTCTGCGAAAACAAACAAACAAAAGCAAAATCCAACCAAACTGAAATTATATCAATAACGGAAATAAAACCAAACCGAAAATTAACGAAGAAGAACTGAGGAAAAATCAGTTCTAACCGAACTGGAAACCGAACATGAAAATTTTTAAAAATAAAACCAAATCTCTAATTGAACACCTAAACAATCAAATCAAAAATCCAAATTAAATTCTATTCAATTCGGAATTCAGTTACGGTTCAATTTTGTGCAACCCTATTCATTATTGACAATAAATAATGTGTATATATATATATATTATAATTTGTGTGCGCCTTCATTATTAGATTTGCGTAGAGTATAAAAAAGAACATATTTTTCATTAAGTTAATTTGATCATTAAAAAAATAAATCAAATTTTAAAACTAAAATTTAATTTGATTAGTTTAATTTTTAAGTTATATTCGACTAATTCGATTGTAATCCAGTCAAAACAAACAAATAAATAAAATAGCTTATATATATGTTTGATAAAAAAAAAAATTTCTCTTTTAGCAATAAAAATACATGTAAAGAATTGAACTATTTTTGAAGCTCGATGAAGGAAGAATGAAACCATTCTGTCCACACAGGGAAACTTTTGAAGCTCGATGAAGGAAGACAGATTAAAAGAGACACTTGAGGATGCAAAAATCGCCCATTAGGGAGAAGGGTGGATATAAATTGCCAACATTATTGTCATTTTGAATTCCATTATTGCAATGTTCTTTGATAGAGACAAGCAAAAGTCGCAACTTTGAGTCACAACATGGTGACCTTTTGTGGCTGAGTCCCAACATCGCAATGTTGGTCGTATAACAGCAAAGTGCAAAGACCAAAAAAAGTTTAAGGATATATTCTTCTACCTTTGTGCTTGGCCAATATTTTGGACTTCTTGGATGTATTTGAGCATGTCATGATCAGAATTTATCTTATATCTGGACTTGGGTTAATAGGCAAATGGGCCATAGGCTTCGAGTTGGCTTAGGGAAAATATTTGGGTATAAAGATGGCCTCTAGGGTTAAGGTAGAGGGTACGGAATTAATTGTCCAAGTCTTCTCTCTGTCGTTATCTTCTTTCTGCTTCCCTCTGAATTATTCCCTGCTGCCTTTTCTTTTTCTGCTATTGTTTCCTAATCTGTCATTGCTTGATTTCTACTTCGTTGTCATGTATTCCAATATATAACTAGTAGAAGCACTTAAATATATATATTTAGTGGCAGGTAGTCTTTGAATCTGATTTTGAGCCTTGTGAATATATTAGTTTTGCTGTCTCCTTATAAGGTTCATAACATAGCTTTGGGTGTGTGCTATGTGCAACGTGATAGATTTCCGTTCTTTAACATTAACGAGTTTAGTTGAAGGTAAAGGTATGATTTGAGAAGGGAATTTGAGTTTTTTTTTTTTTTCCAACTAACCATAGGTATCATCCTATTAAAGACAATCTTATTTGAGACATTATCAGGCACTGAATGCATGCACCTCTTCTAGTGGGAATTTGAATTTTAGTCTGTCATGTTGCAAGGTACTAACTCATTCTGCTAGATCCAAACTCTATTGGTAATTTGAGGTTTTGGACTTATCGAGGTTTAGAGATGTTAAGGGTAGGAAGAAGACTTGGGCTGCGCAGAAAATGAAATTTATGAAAAATTTTGGGTTCCTTTAAAGTCCATTCTCATAACAAGGATGAATTATGTTTATTCGCCCATGGATAAAATTTTAGGGGATGAAGTTGCTTCAGTCAACTCCCACCCATGAATAAGATAGAAGAAATTATCTATGTTGGTAAATGAGTTTCCAGAAAGGGATGTATGTGTCACCTCTTTCAACATTCAGTTGCAGGTGTGAAGGATTGAGTGTGTATCTACCTACGAAGGCTAACTCGATCGGTCAAAGTGTGGGTGTGTCTGTCGATAGATATAAAATGTTACCTCAACTTTTTAATATTAGATCTAGTTGACTAATTTGAAAATATTAAGAAAATGTATTTGAATTGTGTAGATTTCATAGCAACAATGAGCATCGAAACTGATTTGAAAAGAAGTTGCTATTTTTCCTTTTTTTTTTTCCTTTTCGTCTGTGTTATTCCTTCTAGCTCTTGAGCAGGATATACTGTTGAAAAATTATATTGCGAGATTGAAACCCTGTCAAGTATAAATCTCATTTACTGAGGAAAAACTAAGCAATTACACAGACTATTAATGAATAAAGACATCATAAGGACATCATAATTTATACTCTTCTGCATAATGAATAAAGACCACTGTCTTATTGATTGAAGCAAGTAAATATTATGTTCGAAAGTAGCCAATAGCCAAGTTCCCAGGTGATTAAATTCCAAACTTCTCTTTTGCTTGTGTTTTATTCATAAAAATTCTGATTCCAAAAGGCTTTGATTTTTAATGTGAGCAAGGATTATGATTCTTCTAATGATTCCAAACGACACAAATCTTACTTTTAAAAGGGGTCAATATCAGTTTTTGTCTGTAAAATTTGTCTATATTTTGGTTTTGATCCTTAAAATTAAAACCAGGGATTTTGGTTCATCTCTATCTTTGTTGAAAGAAAAATGATTGAGTATTTTAGTTTGTTTTATATATGATTCATAGAAATAGTTGATCAACAAGAAAGTTAGACCAAGTCAAAATTGCTAGCTCAAGCTCGCTGTGCCCTTGTGTGTATATGTAGAATTTGGTCAGACATTTCCCTTAATTATTCTTTCTTTTTTCTTTCCCTAGCAATATGTGCGTGTAAAAGAGTCACAAAACAAGAAACAAATTAGAGCCTCTCTTAAACTTGAGACAAACTAACCAATGATCTGTGTAAATGTAAATCTTTATTGAGTTAAAAAGTAGGTATTACAAAGGTCACACTGCAAAAGAAGCCTAGCTAGCTAGCTAGCTAGGTGATGGTGTAGGATAAACCAGAGCCTGTCTTAAGTTTGAGACAAACTAAACCAATGATCTATGTAAATGTAAATCCTCATTGAATTAAAAAGTAGGTATCATCTAGAGGTTGAGATCCCTTAGGTGATGGTTTTGATATGGTGGAAACATTTTCTGTTTAGACCCCTCCCTTGTCTTTAGATCCTTTTTCCTTAGAATCATTCGGCGGATTAAAATCCTTTTGCGGAGGAACATGACAAGATTTGCATTTAAATCGTGGCGGAGCATGATGACAAGTAGCACAAAAAACGATCTTGTGACGGAGGAGAAATACAATAAGGACAATCTCCGATGGCATGATTGCCAAGCAAGACTCTCACATGCAGCTTCAAGCTTTGCTCACAATGATCTTGTGTGCTACCTATGAAGTAAAATGATCCTGGCTTGTTCAACACTATCTTGGCCTGTCCATTTTTGTGATCTTGAATGGGGTTAGACTTGTTGCAGTTATGATAATGTTTCTTATTCACTTGTAGCACTGACTCTGATCCTTCATTGTACTTCCATACTATCACCAACCAAAAAAAACATAAGAAAGATCTTAAATGATGATTGAAGCGACGATGAGGAAATTAATGATTAAAATGTTAATGAATGAATATCGAGGATTACAAAGAGAATCGCCAATCTTGAAATGGTGAGCGGAAGCTCCTTCGTTGGGCCACTCAGCTTGAGGAAGAGGAAGCAACTAGGATGATTCACTGTCTCCAACCAAATACTCGTCTGCTTCACAATTTGATATTACCAGACACAGAAAAAGCATCATCCATATTGATGAAGATGATCCAGCCATTGATATGGATCCTAGTTTCAACTATGCCACTTTTTATGGAACTCTCCTTCTCAATGGTTAATCACTACGTTTTTCTTCTCAATTTATAACTTTAGGATTTTAAAATCTTGCTTTCAATAGATGGTAGGTTATTACTCCCTTTTCTTTTTTATAAGCAACAACTACTATCTTCTTCTTGTCCTTAAGTATAAGCAACATCTACAAGTTGTCTTAAATTTATGCACCAAATTTTCTATTTTGCCCCTATTAATTATTTATTTTAATACTCAATATATTTTTTATTTTATTTTCAAAACCATCATCTCTCTTCATCACACATTCTCTCTCTTTCATAATTTTTTTGTAATAATTTTTTTATTCTTTTTCTTATACTCTCTCTCCCCAATAAATAAAGGCATTTTGGAAAAAAAAATTTAATTTCTATAGATTTATTATCTTTAACGAATTTTAAGTAACTTTTTGATCTACGTGATTTAGTCCAAAATTACTTATAAAAAAGGACGAAGGGAATATTATCTTAGAATTTAATGCCAAATAATGTTGTCTTAAAATCCATTGAAGAAATTATTTATGGTTTTGAGAAACTCTAAGGGACACTTAATACAATTTTGTAATTTTGTAATTAATGAAAAGTCGCAGAACTGATGTTCAATTTATTATACATTGATTTTAATTTTTTTGGTCCATTAATTATTAATTAAGCATACAAAGTAAGCATGCATGTAAAATGATTATCTATTGCTCTAT